AAGCATTTTTTTTTTTTATAAATTTGAATGTCTGATTTCAAACAAATTCAATACACTTATATTTATATATATATATATTCATTGAATGATTTTTTTCCCTGATATTCGTGATGAGAAAAAACAAAGGAAGAAAAAACACAAACGGAAATCGATTTTTCTTCTAGTCATTTCTTTTTCTCGTTGAATTAACAGAAATGATGAAAATATAAATAATCTTATTTTCACTTGTTGTTGTTATTATTCATTTCAAATGCTTGTTATTTGAATTGTAAACGAATGATTGATAATTTACATATATATAAACATTTACCAAAACCTTATTGTTTTTGTTTTTCTGATAATATTAATACTAATACTGATAATTATAATATTCAGGTTCAAGAATTAAGTTCACCACCACGTGCATCTGGTGTTGTTAAAGATTGTGTTAAAAATTGTATTCGTCATACATACAATTTTTTATTTGCAAATTGTGATGAAGTTTATAAACGAGAATCAAAACAACAAATAAATATAACAACAACAACAACGACAACAACAACCACAACAATAGATAATAATGAACCAAATGATGATGGAAGTCAATCATTAACTACAACCACAACAACAACCACAAGTGTTGTTGGACCAAGTCTTAAAAATTTACAATTTTGGCATCAATTAATGTATTTATTAACATGTATTATATCAGAAGATAGAGAACGATACAGTCTGGTGCTTAGTCAGTTAGTTGAAAAAATTATTTTTTTTTAAATTAATTTATTAATTTGTGTTTTTTTTCTCTAAATTAAGATTTCCATCGGAACTTAATGTAGGTCATATTAGTGCAGATACTTTATGGAAACTTTTGTCAGTCGATCTTAAAGATCATCTTGAAGGTAAATAATAATTAAATAAATTTTTAGGTTATTTTAATTCTTTAGTTTGTTTTTTACCTCGAATATTCTATTAAAATATATCATTATTATTTCATATATATAGAAAAACTAGAATAGAATCTAGTACGTCATGCTACCGGAGATTGATTTTGTTCTTTAGAGAATCAACATGTACCGTGACAAAAACCAATTATCTAACTCATTTATTCTCATGAGAAATTCTGTTAAAGTTAAAGAAATGAGAAGATTTTTTTATTAGTTGACTGATAAAAGATATATATATATATATATAAATATGAAAAAGAAAATGTTTCTTAATTCTAATCAGAGATTAGTTGACATGATTATATACATGTGAAATTCAATTGGGAATAAAAACGAAACATTTCATTAGTTTGTATAATTAGATTTTCGAATAAAAAGAAAAAAAAGAAATTATTCTAACATTTAATTCACTTTTTCACTCAATTTATTTTCTATCGAAAAATCTTAATTAACAATTTATATTTAATTAATTTAATCTTAGCCAAATAAATATGCTATAGATGTCAAAACTAAGATCTCGTGAACTCTGTCTGACAATATCGAGATCTTTAAAGATACTTAGCGTATATGACATTATAAAAATTAGATGAAGTGTTATACCAAATTGAGATAACAGTTCGACTACTGTTTATATACTCTAACTATTACATAACCTGGAAAAACATAGTTTTCTTCTTTCTTAATCCTCGAACGCTTTTACAGATTCAATTGGATCTACATAATATTATTTTTTATGCGAACAGAAATTCTTTTCCGAGCGTTTATTTTTCTAATTGTTCGAGGCCAACGATTAAGAATGATATTGCGCGGAAAAAAATTCTTGTCTATATGCTAAAACATGCAAAGTGATATTATGAAAGTCCAGTGGGAATAACAAATAAGGTTCAAGCGTTAATAGTTAAATAGATGACATTACGATTGTTTATTTAATTTTATAAACATAAATTTTGTATTAATTTCAGAGCATGCTCGAATTCCTGCTAAACGTCGTGATGTAAAAAGTGCTGATTATATGAATCTTCATTTTATGGTGAAACGATTCTACGATACATCTGTTAAAATAATTCCTGAAGCAAAAAATATTGTTCCAGAATATCCTAAGTAAGTTATGTTTGTATTCATTTATAAAAAAAATTGATCGTTTTTTCTTACTAATCAATAATCCTATATACAGTGCATATACACCCAAAGAGTTCAAACGGTAATCAAAATAAATAAAATAAGAAAACGCTTTTTCTTTTCTTTCTCGCCCGCATGATTAAACATTACCAAAAGGAAACAAAGTCGCATGAGTTTTTACTTTTTATTTTTTAAAATTTATTTAATTATAAATCAAAAATTATATGTTAAAAATAATTTTGTTTTTTCTATTTTTAAAGATGGTTTGAACCATTTGTAATGCAATGGCTTAATGAAAATGATGATATGTCTATGGAATATCTACATAATGCACTTGAAAAAGATCGACAAACAGGAGTAAATTAGATAATTTTATTAAAAGAAAAACATTGAAAATATTTTTTTTGTTCTTTTTAAGTTTCAACAAACATCTGAACATTGTTTATTTTCTTCATCAGTTGTTGATGTTTTTACACAATTAAATCAATGTCATGGAATAATAAAAACTCTTGATCTTCATGATCCACTTGTTATAGCTAAATATATGAGAAGATTTTCCGTAACAATATCTCAAGTATTACTTGGTTATGCAAATGCAATACGTCGAACATTTGAACATGTTGGAGGACAAGATCGAATATGTTCTATATTAATGAATAATATTCAACAGTTAAGATTAAATTTAGAACAATTATATGAGTTAATGGGTGGTGCACAATTAGATGATGAAACAAAAATAATGTTAAATGATTTACAAAAACAATTAAGTGATGTTTTAGATGAATTAAGTGCAATGTTTGTTAAAAGTATTGAACCAACAATTAGACAATGTATTGAAGAAGTTTATAAACAATTACAACAAATTAAAGGAAATCAAATGGGTACAGGAAATACTAGTGGACAACAAAAAGGAGTTGAAGCTATGGTTGTTACCAAATCATTATTAGATTATCTTGATCAAAGGTACTTCTATATAATATTGATTCCATAGTTAATAGGTTTTATCAGTTAAATTTATGAAGAAAAGACTTATAGAACGAATTTGTTGATTTTATTCTAAAAATACTGAATTAGTAACGGAACATTAGATTATAATTAAATGAATGAGTTCTTATATAAAAATATTTGTTTAAATTTATCTTAGATTGACCTTTTTTGCAAATCAATGTGAAAAAACAGTATTAAAACGTCTTTTAAAAGAACTATGGAAAGCTGTAATTAGTGATCTTGAAAAAGTTATTGTTTTACCACCATTCTCAGATTCAAAAAATCTTTTAACAATTCCAACAGCTAAAATTGAAGATGCTTATCGACTTTTATCTGGGGTTTGTATTTCATTATATATTTTTTTTCGAAATTATAAATATCTGTTCTTTTAAATCAATTAGGAATTAGGCCGTGATAGTGATCGAAGTTTAACACAAAAACAATGTCAAATATTAGATCGTGGTTTAGAAGATTTAAAAGAATTTTTTCATGCATCTGGACAAGGTTTAAAACGAAATTATTTAGAAAAAACTTTAGAATTACAATCACTCAAATATGCATTATCATTATATACACAAACAACTGATTCATTAATTAAAACATTTGTTAAAACAGAAAAAGATCAAGGTTAGTAAAGAAATTAGTTATTTATTGAAATTATTTATTCAATTTTGTTTTTAGATCGACCAGCATTAGAAGAATCATTTGGTGAAGTATCTATTCAAGTTGATCTATTTACACATCCAGGTACTGGTGAACATAAAGTTACTGTAAAAGGTATAAAATTAAAAGAAAATTTTATTCAGTTTTTTGATTAATATTATATTTTAGTTGTTGCTGCTAATGGTCTTAAATGGCGTACATCAGGAATGTTTCGTCCATATGTTGAATTAGCCATGTGTGGTCCACATTTAAGTGATAAAAAACGAAAACAAACAACAAAAACGAAAAGTAACACATGGATACCAAAATATAATGAAACATTTCATTTGTAAGTTTTCATAATTTAAAGAAAAATAGAGACTAACAAATCTTTTTTTTTTGTTTTAGTTTATTGGGTAATGAAGAAGAACCAGATTGTTATGAATTAAATCTTGCTGTAAAAGATTATTCATTTATGCGTGAAGATCGTTTAATTGGTTTAAATGTTATTAAATTATCACAAGTTTGCGAACAAGGTTCTTGGTCATCTTGGGTACCACTTGGTCCACGAATTAATTTTGATGATACTGGTTTAACAATATTAAGAATTTTATCACATCGAACAAATGATGAATTAGCAAGAGAATTTGTTGCACTTAAATCTGCAAGACGACATAAAGAAGAAGTGTGATCAATATTTTAATAGTTTCTTCTTATTCGAGAGCGAAAAAAAAGAAAAAGAAATGTCGTTTATTTTGTTTTTTCTTTTCTACTTTGTACAATTATATTTATTAATTTATAAATAAATAAATGCGTGTATGTTTTTATTTCAATGTATATGTTCTTTTTTTTATATTGCTACTACCCTAAGACGAACTGATTTTTTTTTTCTTTGTTTGTTGTTTATTCGAAATTCTTTTTTTTGAGTTATGTTATAAACAAAGAAAAAAATCGATGATTAATAGATTTTATGTATATTATTATTAATTGATAATGTCTTTATTTAGTAAAAGACAAATTAAAATGAGTATACGTGTTTTAATTGATTATTTTTTCTTTAAATATAAGAAAGTCAATCAAAAACCTAGTGACCTCTTCGACTTTCAAAGAATATTTTTATGGATAATTCAGCGATTGGAAGATGAATATTCAGTAAATTTAGATATTTTATTTTAAAATTAAACAAGAATAAAATAATTAATTTATAGAAATTTTTGTTAAATATATTTTTTATTCTAATTAATATTAAATTATTTTAGTAAAAGAAATTCTATAAAATGTTCTATTCTTTGAACTTTATTTGTTTATCTATTTTAATATTTTTGATATATGTCGTCATTATCATCATCAAAGATTCCATTAAAATCATTATATCATTCACAGGCAACATCATCAGTATCTTCTAATTTTATATCTAAACCAAAATTTATTTGGCGTTTTCCACCATCCAGATTTGATCATTTACCTAGTTGTACTTCAAAACGATTATCAACATTTAATATTCAACCATTAAATAGTGATGATGAACTTATTCAACGACAAGAATTAGCTTTACTTATTTATGAACTTGGTTCACATCTTAATGTGTACGTATTAAAATGAATAAAATTTTTTTTTTATTATAAATCTTATTTCTATAGATCATTTACTTGTATTTATATGGGTGTTGTTTATATGCATAGATTTTTTATGCTACATCCATTTCAACAATGTACTAAAGAAGTATGAGATTTATTTATATTGAGAAAAATCATAGTTCATAAATTTCTATAATTATATACAAGTGAATAGATAAAAAACGACAATAGATTTTAGTCATTAATAATGAGGGAACTTTGAATATTCGTTGGTGGTATATCATGTAATGATTTGTCTTTCAGAAAACGAGAAGAAACTATATCTAAAATTCTTGTTTCGCATAATATTGTTTTTGAAAAATCGAATAATCTTGTTTATAGTCTGTAGCAGCAGCATGTCTTTTTCTTGCCTGTAAAGTCAATGAAATGCCACGACCATTAAATGATTTTACTCAACATTTGTGTCAACTTCTAAATCAAATACATAATAATACTAAAGATAATTTATCACCATCATCATCATCATTAACAACAACAGTTATTAATATTACATCTGAAGTTAGTTGAATAAAGAAAATCGAAATTTTTCATAAAATAAAACGAATATTTTTAGATTCTATTAAATTATAATCAACAAATAATTGATTATGAAAATATGTTATTATCTACTCTTGGTTGGTTCTATTTAATATACATAAAAAAACTATTATATAAAATTATTTATTTAGGTTTTTGCCTGAATGTTGATCAACCATATATGATTATAACACGAACTTCTCAAACATTATCAAGTGAATAAAAGAAATGAATTCATTTATTAAAATTCTTTCGATTTCGTTTTTTAGTACCAATGGAAATAACCCAAAAAGCATATGAATTTGCTACTAAATCGTAAGAAAGAAACTTATTTTGAATTTTTATACATTATTTTCTCTTTAATTTTATAATAGAACTTTTTT